GATGGCTTGAAACCAGCTTCCTCTCGTCCAGTGCCCACCCCATGTAAGAAAAGGCTACTAGGTGGACACGTTGCTTTGACCACTCGTTCCCACCCCACGCTGCTCTGTGGCCTTTTTACCACGCGGTGGCCGACTGGCCTGGAGGGGTTCCCGCCGCCTCTCCCTCATCTGCTGATCATTTCCCTGCAAAGTCCGGACATGTGACCATCTTGGCAGCCATGTTTTGTTCTTGCTTTTAAAGTCTGATGAGTCTCGGTCTGAGGAACGTCTGCAGCGACAAGCAGCCCCCCACTTGCCAAAGACCCCTTTTTGTAACCAACACTAGCCCTTGTGCTTAACACACACTCCAGCCACTTGCCAGTCTGATGAGCTTTACCAACGCGTTCCCGGTGGCCGTGAGGGGTCCGCGTGTCAGTGGAAGTCATCACGCGACACAACCCAGCCCAGTCTGTCTCGGGGGCCACTTTTTCTGGAAAATAGTTATAGATAGGAAAGAAGGAAACTCCTGCCGGCCTTTGGTCTGAGTCTGGGACCCGTCGAGCGGGGTGGACAGCAGCTCATCGCTGGTCCTTCACTGTTTGGCAGAAATAGCAAAAGGTGTGTATTTGGCCCTGGCCCCGTGTCATCCAGATGGTGTTTGGAAAGCAACATGCAGGTGCAAGATTCCACAAACGGGGTGTAAGGCCTTGTGCACCCCTTCCTGCACCCCCGCTTTGGACTAAAGTTAAAGCATCTGGGACTGGCTGGCGGCAGGGCCCGCTGTGGAGTGTGGTCGGGCAGGCAGACCCTCCTGGTTGCTGCTCAGGAAGTGGCACTGTGGCTGAAGTGCCTCCGTGGGTGGGGCGGGGCCCGGGTGGGGGGCCTGCACCGAGGGATCGCAGCTGGGGGCCAGTGTTGGCAAACGCCCAACGTTCGAAACTGGAGCGGCCTGAAGCCTCATGTGAAAGGACCACAGGCCTCGTAAACTGGGACAAGGAAGCGAAACTGGAATCAAATGCCGACTGTAAATTGTATCTTATAACTTATTAAATAAAATGTTTGCTCCTTAGAGCTCAGTCTGGTAAATGGTTGGAGCCTGACCTGCTCTTCCAATCCCTGGCCAATAGCACACAGATTAGCTGCTTGTTTTGACCAGGAGCCTGTTTTGCAGGGGGAGGCCTAGCTTCTCCCTGAGCCTAGGAGGGAATTTATCCAGACAGGGCCCGCCCGAGAGTGCGGGACACTGGAAGGGGGTGTGCGGGCCCTGACCCCGCCACACAGCTTCCTGTGGAGGTTTGCTGGGACTTGCCCTGAGTAAGAATCCCACATAGGAAACCCACCTAGGTGAAGGCTGTGGATTTAAAAAGAGCAAAAAAAGCCTCTCCTACCTACACGAGAAGCCCCATTGTCGGGAATTTATTCAAACAAAAAACAATGCCACCTGTCATCCCACTGCCCGTGGACAGCAGGGCTCGGATCTGGTGCTACAGCCGTCCCTCTCGTCCCTCTCCCTCTGCTGCTCCTTCCTGCTGCGGATGTCGCTACCTCCATGCCTCCTCCTCCCCTTACGGCAGTTTTGTGACACCATTTTACAGCGACAACACTAGCTCAGGCTGCAATGACATGTCTGCACTCTCCAGGTTCACCTGAGGCAGACCCTGGGTCCCTACCAGTTTGTCCTCCAGAGCGGGGCGGGAGCAGTGGCCATGATGATGGGAAGTCCCAGCTGCCCCCCACCCCATCCCTCACCTCCATTGGAGTTGAGGGGTGGAAGGAAAGGTGGGGAGAAAAGACTCTGGATCCTTCCCTGTGTCTCTTCCTGACACCCCTTTGTTGATGAGGGTGGCGATTTGTTGACCTCTGACAGGTGGGAGGGGAGGAGGGTCTGTCCTGCCCCTTCTGGAGGGAGCAGCCTAGCCTGTGGGCCCGGACTCCCGGCAAGGTCTGTGGCCTTTGAGGGGTGCAGGCTTTGCCCAGGGGGTCTGGACAGGCCACAGTAGGCTGGGCTTGTCCCCAGAGGAGCACAAGGCAGAGCCACTGGTCTCTACCTGGTTGGAGCCAGGCGGGTTCAGGAGGCAGCGTTATCAGGTGGCAGAGTGGACTTTGGCATCAGGCACCTTAGGCTGGAACAGTGGCTCAGCCACCCACCGTGTGGCTCGGGGAGGCTGCTTCACTCAGAGGGCGCCCCCCTCGGCGGTTGGGGGGGTCACATGAAATCCCACGGGGAGCGGCGAGTCTCGGCCACCGCTGTCTGCTGCCGTGACTGCCTCCTACACGGCGGGGCCTGGCGATCCCCCGCCGGTTACTTCAAAGACATCCCGGTGGAACCTGTGCACTGTGGTCAGCAGCTAGAGCCACCGGCAGCTCTTATCTGCACCTGGACTGGCTGCTATGGGAACCGGCTCTTGTTTGTACAAACACCGTGAAAACTGCAACTTAACCCTGGACAGGCCAGTGCCAGACCTTTTCTCACTCACTGGTCCACTTGGCCCTGTCCTGCCAGGACCATCACTCTTTAGTGGTGAAGGAGGTTAGGCAGACACCAGGTGGGCCCTGCCCTGTCGAGCCCAGATGCCTGCCTCCTCCTCATCCAGTTTCCTCTGAACCCAGGGCCGCACTCATCAGCAAGGCTGCCAAGAAGAGGAAACATTTAATTAACATGTCTCTTTCCGATGCGCTTATAAACACTCTGGCCCAGGACCACATGTCTAGTCTTAAGACTTCAAAGGGGCCTTGAAAGCCACATTTTGATGAGTTTGGTGTAAAATGAATCCGCCGCATAGGGATTTAATTTCCCTTGAAAACTGCACAGCCTGAAAAATTAGCAAAATGACTTAATTTTGCTAATGGCAAAAATGAGTGCTCAACTCTTGTCCACCCCCCAAGTGTGTATTTTGAAATGGGGAACAAGATCGTTAATTTCAGTGCCCCTTGGCCTTCGTGCAGCCGGATGGAAGCAGGGGGTTCTGGGAAAGGAGTGGAGTCCATCCAGGTCTCCCTTAAGGTGCGGGGGAGGGGCTTTGGAATCAGGGGAGTCCGCTCATGAAAACTCTCCCAGAACACATCTTGTTTAGCTCATTTGTTTTCTCCTCACAATAGCAAATCACAGCTCTCAGAGGGAGTAAAAATGTCACATCGCTCAAGGCAAGCTTGAGTTTGATTTTTCCCTCTGGCTTTGTCCCAAGGATGCTGCCCAAACACTTGGTGGGAGGAATCTTTTTAAACAAAAGGATCCTTTTGCTTCGTGATAAGGCTTTTGTCTGGGCCCCTGAGTACACAGGGAACCAGCGTATGTGCAAGGAATTTAGGGTGGCCCACACCCCACACCCCTCTTTCTCAAGAGTCCCAGCAGGCAGGCCGGGGATGGGGAATTTACAAGCCTGACTCATGTGGCTCGCGTCCAAGGGTGTTTCGCATTCTGGACTTGCTTATCTCCCTGGACAAAGCTGAGATGAAAGAACCCGTGAGCCTTTTATTGCCCACATGACACCCTCTGCCATGACCACCGCCTTCCCAAGAGACCAGACGCTTCTCCCTGTTGGCGTGGACATTCTTAGGGCAAAACTGGCAGGTGATCTCAGAGGAGGAAACCCTGGCAGAGGTGCCAAGCCCCGGAAATGCCAGCTTCGGGCCCAGCTACAAGCAACCAGTGCAAGTAGCAGCAGAAAAACCTGGTGCACGAGCTATGGGGGGAAAAAAGAGGAACAACTGTAATAATCTGAACAATAAAGATTAAAAAAAAAGAAAAAGAAAAACCTGGTGCATGAGAAACGCTCAGAAAGCGCTGGGTCGAACGCTGCAGGTTCACGTCTGGATCCCAGTCCCAGCTCTGCCGCCAGCTCTGTGCCTCAGTGCCCTCATCCATCAAATGGAAAAATAATGGGAAACTTACAGTCTAAGGTTAACCTCTAGAAAGATCCTACCACACAACCACACCCCCACTGGCTGGGCAGACCACTCTCCCCACCCAGAGCTGCTGGGAGAGGGGCTGCCTGAGTATTAGGGAGACTCAGCTCCCCAAGACAGAGTGGAAGGGGTACCCAATGAGGGGTGTGGCTTGTAGGGCAGCCATTTAGCTGGTGGTTACAAGCATGGGCCCTGCCACGGCCTCCAGCAGATCACTGACCCTCACAGGAGAACAGTGCCTGGTTCTCGCCAATAAACTGGGCAGTGGGACCTACTGCTTAGAGTGTTTGAGGATGAAGACATATGCATGTGAAGAGCACAGTGTCCATCCTGTACATGGTCAGTTCACAAAATCACAACAATGCATGGAAGGTGCCTAGAGGAGTCTCCCCACCGAGAGCTTAAGCCGAGGAGGGGCTGTGAGGGACAGTGAGCACTGCGTCCTGGAGAGCCAGTGACAGCCCCAGGCTTGGATTGGGGTGCAGCCTTACCAGTGGGCGGGGTGGGCCAGTGACAGAACCGCAACTAGGCGGGCTGTTGGGGGTGTGGCCAGAAAGGTGGGAGGGTGCCCAGCTCCCACCCCAGCCTCCCCCGGTTTCCCAGCTTCAGAGTCCCCTTTCCTCAGCACAGGCGGAGGCCAGAGACAGGCCTGGGGCTGACCCCACACCTGCCCAGGGGATGTTGATGGGTTTTACATGGGTTACTAAAGAAAATTATCGTCGCGAATAGCATTAACGCTAGGCACTTAGGATTATCTTCATTTTACAAGGGAGTTCGCAGGAGCTCGGAGAGTTTAAGAGGGCTGCCTGACATCACACAGGCAGTAACTACCAAGGCTGTGCTAAAACCCGGGGGCCTACATGTAGGAAGCGGGCATGAAGCCCAGCGCAGCGCGCAGGGGTCTGCACGGGGTGGGGCCCAGAATCCGAAGGCGGCTCTCCCTGCGGGCCGCTGGCTGCCCTTGGGCCCGTTGGAAGGCAGCACTTTTGGGGCGCTTCTCTGCTCCCTCCTCCCCTCCCCTTCTGGGGAGCCTGACCATCCTGCAGGGGAGCCGGTGGTCCCCCGCCTGCTCTGTCTGCTTGTCCGCCAAGTAGCGGGGAGGTCGGCTGCCCGGCGGTCGTTGCCATGGTGACCGCCAGGGGTCGCCTTGGACACGCAAACTGCGGCACCCAGCGCAGCCCCTGGGGCGGAAGGCGCAAGGTCACCAAAGCCCAGAGAAGGGGACACCCACTGCTGCCCTCTGTGCTCTCGGCACCTGGACTTACCAGCCTGGGGGCGGGGGCGGCCTGGGTCAGGGAGGCTTTCTGGAGTTCCGGGATCGGCCCCGCCCCCGGGCCCTGCCACCGCTCAGCCCCGCAACTACCGAGTTTCTCCCTCCTTCCTTCCCCACCACCAGCTGCCACAGAGCTAAGGTGCAGCGCCCTACCCACCGTGAGCCTTTTCTAAGCACCTGCCTGTGCCAGGCAGCACCTCAGAGGTACAGATCCGGCGTGGAGGCGGGCGGGGCCCAGAGGCGCAAGCTCCCCGAAGCCAAGACATGTTGCGGTTTTGTTCGCTCGCAGCTCCTGGCACACAGGAGGCCCTCAGTCTGGAAGGAATGGTGCTCACAGCCAGGTTTTTAAAGCCTGGATTAAAACGGTGTTTGCACAATTCATCAGTGACCACCGTGATGGAGGCCTGCAGACCCAGGTTGTCCCACTTAACTAGCTGGCGCTCTATTTCCCAAACTTCCTCAGAGCCCTCATTCTACAGGTGGGAGCACCGAGGCCCAGAGGACAGTCCCGGCAGCTGTGTCCTTCCTCGCCTTTCAGAAGGGGGTCCCATCTGTACCTCTTCTCCCACGCTGCCTGGCTCCCTCGGGTCCATAGTTCAGGTCTCAGTCAAAGGGCACTTCCTCTGGGAAGCCTTCCCTGACCAGCCTCCCTCTCCTGCCTCCCCTTCTACCCACCCAGTGGTATGTCTCTCTCCCCTTCTGCACTGTGAAAGCCTGAGGACAGGCAGCGTGGGGACTCTGTCCCTCCTCATCTACCTGTAGTGCCTGGCTCTGTGCCTGCCACAGGCTCAAAAGTAAACGAATGTTTGTGGAATGAATAGGTGAGAGCTCAACCTGCAGAGTGAAAAGGTGAGTGGTACTCACCTCCTCCTCACTGGCTCTCACCCTGGAGGGCCCTGGTCAGGGGCAGAGGGTGCTGCGGAGTCCTGGTGGGTCCTCCTCGGCCCCGCCCTGCCTGTGCCCCTCCCATGGTGCTTGCCACACTCCATGGTAGAGTCTGTGTTTGTAATACATGACGTGGGTTTTCCCCGAGTGAGCATTTACTGTTGCTGAGCTCAGTTTCCTCATCTGGAAAATCGAGTTAAGAAGCCTGGTAGTGAGTCGCTGTGAGGATTAAGTGAAATCCCTCAGGAAAACCCCAGCTCAGGGCCTGGCACAGAGGTACCACCACATACCAACTGCATGCCCTGGAACAGGCATATCCTTGCCCTAAGCCTCCATTTCCCCATCTGAAAAGGAGACTCTGAAAGCCCCATAATCGAGGGGTGATTTAAAGTGTGTGGAGCACGGCTGGTGCCAGGCAGGTACTTGCTGGACAACCGCCGCTGACACTCAGGGAGGGCTGCTCTATGTCAGGAACGGCCCAAGTTGTGATGCGCTGGCCTAATGCCATTCCCTCAATGCTGAGGGTCCTTTCCACGATCCTCTGGATGTGCCAATGAGGCCGTGCAGCTGTGGAGTGGCAGAGCTGTGTCTAGGAGTTGGCACCCAGAGTTGCCATGGCAACCCCCCATCCCCAGCCATGTGTCCGGAGCTTCCTGAGGGAGGACACTAGGCCTCTCTCTGGACCCCCTGGGATGCCTGGTGGATAGTAGGTGTACACTGAGGTTTGCTAAATGGAACAGAGGCAATGGCACCCCATGCATCACCCCAAGACCCCTGAGCCCTGAATCCCTCTGGGGCAAGCACCCTGGGTGGGTTGTGGTGGCTTTGCTCCCTTTTCCAGCCTGGTCTCTCCTGCAGCCTATGAATGGCCCCAGTCCCCACTGTGCTCAGCCCCTCCTCTCCAGCAGGACCTTAGCAACCCAGGCCTCACTGGCTACACGTATCCTTGGAGACAAGACACCAAGAGTGCAAACACAGGCCAGAGAGCTGTGGGCAGAGTGTTTCCAACCTCCCTGCCATGAGGGATCTGTTCACCTTCCAGAACCAAGCCTGCTGGGAGGAGCGCCTCAGGAAGGAGGCTGCTGCCCGAGCCGCCTGGAAGGTCAACCATGGCCACAAGTACCCCAAGGAGAGGTCCCTGCCCAGGAAGCGGCTCCAGCAGGCCCTCCTCCCCTCAGCCCCGGGAGTGGGGTCCTTGCCTGCCACCAGCTCCCCTGGCAGAAGGACCGGATTGCCGGAGACCCAGGGGGTCAGGGCCCAGCCATCTGGGACAGTGGGAGTCCCGGAGGCCCAAAGAGCAACTCGGGAGCCCGCAGGCCAGACCAAACGAGCGAGCTTGGAAATGAGGCGGGTGCCCTCGAGCACCCGGCAGCTGCTCTTCCAAGGCCTCTCCCACGACGGCCAAGGCCGGGCCTTGTACCTCCGGGAGCGGAACCGAAAGAAGCCAGCGGAGAAGTTTCGGTATCCCGTCTTATCCTCCTGGGAGTACGGCTGGCACGTGGGTAAGGGCCACCACCTCTTGCCATTCCAGGCCTTTGCAGGTAGCCTGGCCCCCTCCCCAGCCTCGTGCTTCATCCCCGCTCCCTCGCCAGCACGCCCTCCTGGCTCACTCCCTCTGAGCAGGCAGGCACCTCCACTCTTCCAGGCCTTTGCACATCTGGTGTGTCTGCCTGGAATGTTCCTCCTGCCCCTCTCTCTGCTGGCTAACTTTCCTATGTCACCACCTCTGGGAAGCCTTCTGAGAGTCCTCCAGGCAGCTTTTTGAGTCTGCAAAAGCCCTGGGCCCACTGTGTCACCATTCCTTGAATATGCATCTGGTCTGGTGAGCCCTCTGGGTTCCAGGACTTCATAGGTAACTTTATTAATGTCCTCCCAGCTCCCAGCTTGGGGCTGGTTCTCAGTGACATTGGAATGAATGTAGCCTTGGGAAGGAGGGCTCCGTTTGGAATCAGGAAGTGTGAGCTCAAGTCCTGGCTATACCACTTCCAAGTTGTGTGAGCTCCAGCAAGTATCTTGACTTTCTCGGGCCTCAGTTCCCACATCTGAAAAAGGGGAAAAAAAAATAGTATTTGCCTTCCTGTATCACAGAGTTTTGGGGAAATCAGGTGGGAAACACACTGAACAGGAATCATCTTCACAAAAGCCCCATGAGGTGGGTAGGACAGACATTCATTCATTCAACACATGATCCTCTCATTTGGAATCCCAACTCTGCCCCAAATACTCAGAAGAGTGACTTAGTTGGAAATTAGGAGGTCTGGGTTTGAATTCTGGTTCGTTCATTCATTCATTCATTCAACAAATGTTTATGGAACACCTGATATGTGCCAAGACTTTCTGTCCCTTGACTACTGCAGAAAACAAGGCAGGGTCCCTCACAGGGGCCCGGCAACAGACAGATGTGTGATGTGTCCCTGCTGCTGAGCAGAGCTTTTCAATCTTCACCTCCCCGGGAACCACCTGGGAATCTTGTTAAAGTGCAGGTTCTTATCTGGCAGGCAAGGACTGGATGGGCGAGATTCTGCATTTCTAAAGAGCTCCCCAGTGACACCGATGCTGCTGCAGGTCCGTGGACGATGCTTGAGAGTCCGGCTATAGAAAGAGAGAAACCAGGAGAAGGAGGTGGAGACTGAGGAGCGATGGTAGCCAGGATGGTCAGGAAGGCCCGCTGGGGAGGGGGCGTTTGAGCAGTGTCCTGAGTCCTACCTACCACCCAGTTCTTCTGAGAACGGCCTGCCACCCTGCACCCACAGAGTGAGTCTCCCTTTAGGGCCCTACGTGTCTTCCCTGTTCCCCCTCTTGCCTGGCCACGATCCTTTCCCACTGCCTCTGAAGCCACTGCCAGACCTGGGGCCACCAGATGGAGCAAATTTAAATACAGGCCGCCCAGTTAGTTTGAATTTCAGGTGCACAATTTTTTAGTGTGGGTATGTTCCAAATATTGCATGGGGTTTACTGACCCTGAAAACTGTTTCTTGTTTATCTGAAATGCAAATGCACTTGGGCTCCCAGTGACCCCGACATTGGAGCCGGGAAGCTGACTCTGATTCTGGAACCCCCTGGGTGCAAGGGCCAGGCTGGGTTCAGGGCGAAGACAGGAGACTTGCCTCCACAGGGGTTCTGCTAAAGCTCACAGTTGCTCTGGAACAGTGTGTAAGCTCTGGCCTCGTGGCCCTAACGGTTAGTAACCCAACCAGCCCAGGGGCCAGATGGGAAGAGATGACAGACCCTCTGCTGACCACTTCTCCAACCTCCCCACACACTTACAGACAGAGTTGTGCCATCCCAGTGGGAGCAAAGAGCGTGGGAAACGGGGGTTAAAGGCATCGTCCCCAGCGCCCCAGAGGGGTCAGCCCCAGTGCCCTTTAACACAAAGAAAGCAGCAATCTATGCCTGGCACATAGTAAGTGCTCAACAAATGGTGACTGGTATTATTATTATTATTATTCCAACAGATAGGTTTGACAGCCTGTGGGCATTGGGGTGGGGGGGGCGGTAGCTCAGCCTTGGGCAGGATCCTGGAGGTGCTCACATGGAGCACTGGGCCAGGTGGGGTGCCACTAGACTGGGGGAGCAATGCGATGGGGGGTAAGTGAGTGTGGGGTAGGGATGGAGATAAAATAGGTAACAATTGGAATGGCCTGGGTGCCATCCATCAGGGCACTTCCTGGCACTTGAGCCAAAGCAGGGCCTCCAGGTTGCCATGCTGTGCCAGGCGTGCCCGCTAGTTATTGGTCCTCGTGAGGAGTGGGTCCTCTGGGAGAGGCGGCGGAGGCTGCTAATGCGCAGGGGACTCACTACTCTAACCACCGGAGCAGTGGCAGCAGGGGGTGCCTGCTGGCCTGAGGCCCGGCCGGAGGCGTGGTGCCCCCTGCTCAGCGGGGCCTTTTCTATGTTCCAGGGGATGCTGTGAAGAACACCAGGCTTTCAATATATGCCAAGTGCCAGCCCATCACAGAAACCTTTCACAGCAAATGTGGCGTCTTCCATTTTCCTCGGCGAACAGACCAGCTAATGTGAACTTCGCGGGATTCAGAAGTGGCTCCTTCCTTTGCCCTCGTCCAGCTGGACCCTGCGGAGGGGAGATGCTGCCCACCCGCCCTCCCTGTGCTGGCAGCCCGTCCCTGCTGGGCACCCCAGGACTCAGGGTGGCCCACCTGCTGCCTCCATCTGCCCTCGGTGACCGCAGCTCCTCACAGAGCTCCCACCACCATCCCCAGCCTGTGCCACCACCAGGTCAAACCCGAAACCCAAGTAAGTGCCCTGACCGAATCAAACCCCACCCACCCACCACCACCCCTTGGGTACAGGCCGGCGCTCCAACCAACTGAGCCACACCGGCCAGGGTGATATTTTCAGCTTTGTGGGCCATCAGGTCTGAACCACAAAACCACCCAGCTCTGCTGTTGTAGTGTAAAAGCAGTGTGGACAGAACATAAACAAGTGAGCATGGATGTGTTCTAATAAAACTTTATTTAAAAAAACTTGTGGTGGGCTAGATTTGACCATAGTAGTAGTTGGCTGAACCGTAGGTTAAATGAAATATATTATTAAAATTAATTTTACTTGTTTTTTTGTTTCTTTATTTTAATGTGACTACTAGAAAAATTACAAATTGGCTCACGTGGCATCCCTATTGGATCTAAGCACTTTGCAAACTGAGGGATATTTTGTTCCCTGGGGAGAAGCCTGTGTGTGTGTGTGTGTGTGTGTGTGTGTGTGTGTGAATGTGTGTGAATGTGTGTGAGTGTGTGTGACTGTGTGTGACTGTGTGTGAGTGAGTGTGTGTGAGTGTACATGTGTGTATGTGTGTGTGTGTGTGTGTGTGAGTGTGTGTACGTGTGTGTGAGTGTGCGTGTGTGTGACTGTGTGTGTGTGTGTGTGTGTGTGTATGTGTGTGAGGGTGACTGTGTGTGTGTGGATGTGTGTGTGTGTACGTGTGTGTGACTGTGTGTGTGTGTGTGTGTGTGTGTAGGAGTGATGTGTGAACTCCGATGATAACCTAACCAGAGCCTGTGGCGGTGGCTCCTTTGCTTGGTTATCCACTGCTGAGAGGGAAGCCCAAGGGCAGACTGGCTGGCGGCGGCTTTCAGCGGGTGTTAGAACCTGCACCCTTTCTAGGTTCCTCCTTTCACTAAAGGGAAGTTACCCAGAATACCACCAGGTGGTGCTGTCCGTCTGCCGGGTATGGTGTTTGGACCGGGAACCGCATTCTCCACTGGGCTCTGCCTTCTCTGCTGTGTAGCCTTGGACTTCCCGTCCTGAGCTGTCACATGGGGTGATACCAGTGAAAATGTGCACTTTGCAGGCAGGCTGACCTGATTTGACTTCTGACTCCACTAGGGCACATTATGAATTTTGTGGGTCTTAGGCACCTGTGACTTCATGAATCCCTTCTTACATTAAAAAAAGTAATGAGTTATATTTTACATGGGGCCAGTGTGGCTTAGTGGTTGAGTGTTGATCCATGAACCAAGAGGTCCCCGGTCGGGGCGGGTGCCTGGGTTGCCGGCTTGATCCCCATTAGGGAAGGTGCAGGAGTCAGCCAATGGATGTTTCTATCTCTCTATTCTCTCTACCTTCCTCTCTCTAAAACCAATAAAAACAATATTAAAAATGAATTATATGTTACAACTACATTGATTTAAAGAAAAATATATTAATACTATACATTAAAATTTTTCTTCAACCTAAAATTTTATTTTTTCCTTCTTATTCTCAAAGAAATTAAAACACTTCCATAGCCCTAAAAGTTTCATGGGCCCTAGACCCTACCCCTACGATGCCTCATAGAGGAGTCGCCCTGGGCTCCACTCACCAGCTGTGTGACCGTGGGCAAGTTGTTTAACTTCTCTGGCCTCGGTTTCTTCATCCATAAAATGGAGACAACAAACCCCACCTTTTCAGTGCTGTGGTTGGAATTTAGTGAGATAGTGTATACTGCTGTGCCTTCTTAGAACACAGCCTGGCACAGAGCAAACCTTGGCAAATGGCAGTTATTATTATCATTATTTATCATTATTACTACCTTTAAAGATATTTTCAACTCTAGCTTCTATGAAACTACTAAAATTTCTCAAGCAGAAATCTCAAAACAAATAAGTCAGAAAAATGAAATGAAACATCCAGGGTATTTGATAGGGGAAATAGAGTTTCCTAAAGCAGAGAGGGTCAGGAGGAATTTTTACAAATGACAAATACGTATTTTCTCCTGCCATCAGGGAACTCATAGAGGTAGGGACGTGGGCTTACTCCAATCAGCCCGAACCTGGGACACCTGGGGAATGTGTGCCAGCTGGGCCGACCCTTAAAAAGGGGTGTGTGTGTGTGTGTGTGTGTGTGTGTGAAGCATTTGTCTTAGAGAAGGGGAGATTTGCATGGAGTTTTGAAGGCCATCAAAGCTTTAGACCTATGGAGAGAGAGACACTGTGTTTGCAGGGAAGAGGGGCAAAGAGGGAAGGGAAGGCAGAGGGAACAGCATGTGCAAAGGCCTGAGGCAAGCGGGTAGAGAGCAAGTTCAAGGAACCACAATGGCCTAGCTGGTTTGGCTCAGTGGATAGAGCGTCCGCCTGCGGACTGAAGGGTCCCGGGTTCCCTTCCAGTCAAGGGCACATGCCCAGGCTGTGGGACTGATCCCCAGTGGGGGGCATGTAAGAGGCAGCCAATCAATGATTCTCTCTCATCATTGATGTTTCTATCTCTCTTTCCCTCTCCCTTTCTCTGTGAAATCAATAAAAGTGTATTTTTTTAAAAAAGGAACCTAGTGACATCTACCTCTAGTGGATTTTAAGGTTTTAGTTCTTCTGTCCTGTTGAAATCCCATTTTATATCCTTCAAATATTATTTGAGAAACTTTAACATACTAGAGGGCAATTTTTCAATCCCTAATTTATGCCCTCAAAAATCATTCCTTAACTTTTTAAATTAGGTGTTTCCATCTGGATTTCTAAAAGAAAAAATGCAACAATTTACTACTCATTATCTGCTACCTTTCGCTCAAATATTTTCTTTCTGTAAAAGCTATTATCATTTTAAAATCTAGGGTACAGGGTTCTTGAATTTGTATTTTTCACTGAAAAAAATCATTCATAAATTAACATACAAAAATAGACATTGGATAAGTAATTACACGGGTAACGAGGGTTAAGAAGGAGCCATACAGGGCGCTGTGGGAAGATGTAACCCAGGGTCCCAGAATAGATGGGGGAGCTGGTCAGAGAGGGCCTCCCTGACCGAGCGGGGTTTAAGCTGAGTTTTGAAGAATGAGAAAAAGTTTGCTAAGTGAACGGGGGAGAAGAGCGATCCAGGAGAGGGAACAGCACATGAAAAGGCCCAGAGGCTGGGGAGACCACGATAAATGGAGGAACTAAACGGTGTGGCTATAGCGTACAGATGGTTGAAAATGGAGCTGGAAAGCTAGGTCAAAGCCAAGACATGTGGGGCTTTGCAGGATCTGGTAAGGACTTGGGTCTTTATCCAGAGAGAAATGGGGAGCCATGGAGGGTTTTAGGCACGGGGGACATAGGATGAAATTTGCATTTTAGGAAGCACACCCTGTTTGTTGGGAAAACAGATGATAGGGAACAACAGTGGAGGTGGTGGGACTAGTGACAAAGCGACTGATTATCACTGAGCAAGACTGTGACTGGGGCTAGGGCAGCCCCCGTGGCCCTTGGCCCTGAGGAGCCTGGCGCCTGCCTGCAGCTTTGTCTCGCTTACATGGGACCTGGGAAACCAAGCAACCACTCGGCTAGTGTTCCGTTCAGGGCACTGTTTCCCGACCCATTTTCTCTGAAGAATCAAGTGAGTGCGTGCGTGCGTGTGTGTGTGTGTGTGTGTGTGTGTACACATCCTTGTTTCCCTTAAATTCCCTTAGTGCCACTTCATTTCAGTAGCTTCTCTGGTCGCTAAGGCTTGGAGCTGCTGGGGCCGGGTCCTGAGGCCCGGGGTGACCCACTCTCCTTCAAGACATGACTGTGGCTAAGATTCCGTGACCTCCCGTCCCAGCCATGACCTGTGACCTCCGCCTTCAGGACCATCTGGGTGGAAGCTCTGATGGGGACTCGTGGCAGCGATGCAGGTGTGAGCCCTCTCCTGGCTCTGCCCGCCCCACGCCCACCTGGCTGGGGAGAGGGATGTCCTGGGTGTGGAGCTGCCTTCACGTCCTTCTCCAGCCCAAGGGACAGGAGCTGCTGGCTTGGAGCTGCCCCTTCACCCCACCCACAGGGACAGGATGAAGGGCGGGGCGGGGGGAGGCAGGAAAGGGGTGCTGATGAGGAAGAGAAAACAAGGGCTGGAAGCAGGGGCGTCTCCATTTCTCGGGGCTCACTTGCCCACATACTTGCTGAGGACGATGAAGAAGTGGGTGGTGAAAACTCACTCCCAGTCATTAGATGAGAGCCACACGCACCCAAGCTTAAAGCGGCCGCCCTTCCACGGAGCGAGGCCTGTGCATGAAAACCCAGCTCCGCCTGTGGAGGGCTGACTGGTGTCGGGCACGTGGCCTTCTACCTGCATTATCGTGTTTAAACGTCACCTGTGCAGCTGATCCTCTCATTAACCCCATTTGGCGCTTCAGGAAACGGAAGGTACGCGACCTGCTCAGTGTCCCACAGCCAGGATGGCTCCCAAGTGGGCCTGGCCCTCCGCACGCTGTGCCTCTTCTTGCTAAGGAGGGCTGGGAGAGTGAGTTTAAAACCTGGTCCTCAGTAAATAATTCATGAACGGAAAGCCTGGCCTGCAGCCACGGGGGGCTTGTTAAGTGGGCAGGCTCAGGCGGGGCTGGGGATTCCCGTGGTAACAGGTGCCCCCAGTTACAAACCTGTGAACGAGGCTGATGCTGAGAGAGTGCCTACGACCAGGCGCGCTCCCCAAAGGGCCATGGGAGCGCCGTCCAGGCAGGTGACCCAGGGCGAGGGGGATGGGGGGAGTCTGCAGCTGCTTCAGGCTGTGGCCAGTGAGAAGCCCCACTCTGTGCCTCCCCCTCCACCGGCCCCCGTGCCCAGCAGTTTGCCCAAACTGAGAGCTGGCAGATGCCATGGCTCCTGTAACCTGCTCTGTACAGGGACAGAGGGACAGAGGGGACAGAGGGACGGAGGGATGGCTCATCACCGAGGAGGCCGCAGGATGGGGGGGGGGCCAGGTCAGGGCCTCGGGCACCCTCTCTTAGGGTCTGGTCCTCTTCCCCTGCCCCCTCCCCCCACACCCACCAGCACAGGACTCCCGTCCCAGCCACGACACTGGCCCGGGGGCACAAGGACACTCTCTCCTACGAAATAAGTTCATTTGTGAAGTGCCCGCTTGACCGTTTGGACCTCGGAAACTGGACGTTTTCTGGGGCGGCCCTTCTCAGAAGAGGGGACGAAAGAAGCCTGACAGCCTCGCCACCTCCCCTGCCCACGCCGGCGAGACCTCTGAGGTTAGTTGGATGTTTGGAGAAATGGTTTTCCCCGCTTAAGCAGGGCCTTTTGGTTTTATTCTCTTGGATGTTACCAAATTTCGAAAATCAAGCTTGTGGTCAGTTTTCTTACATAAGAAGCCACATGGTCTCTCATATATTAAGGGAAATGAGCAGAGTGGGGCCATGCTGATAGCGTGCTTTCCTCTGTATTTTCCAAGGTTACATATGTGCTCGTTTATGTACAGACTCTGGCAGAATGCGTAGCTGGGAAGGGGGGTTGCATCTGAGACAGGAAGCGGGGGGTGGAGGGATGGGGGCGGCATCCTTTGTCACTGCTTTTCCTCTGGCGCTGCTCGTGTCGTTAGTCATGTTCATGAA